GGATCAACTAGTATGTGAGATAAACGTGTAGAAAATTCGTTGATACACTTAACTTATTTTATTCACTAACGCGAATAAAGTCAATAACTATGTTATGTATTACGCCGACATAATTATAGGACCGAATCAGAGTCAGATCAAAGTATTACGAAAAGATCAATGGGACAATATCGATCACCATCTAATTTCCTTCTGTGTTCCTCTAAAATTGCATTATATGTTGAAGACTTTTATATTAATCTTTAATAATGATCATTTATACAAATATATCGAAACGTAGTCTAAAATTCGTAGTGTTTGAAGCATGACTGTCAGCTTTTATATAAAGGTTATTAATTATTGTGATGATCAGAATGTAGTTTTTACCATTCGAATAAAGTCGATTGTTTTAGAACCTGTTCACATGGACAAGTTTCAAATCCATCACTAAGTTAATTCTTTTGATATTCATTCTGTATTGCACTTTTCAAATATATTATCCGATTAACTTGCACTCCAATTAGTATTGATTAAACATTGATAGAGTATATATATTAGTTATTTAATGAAGTATATTCAGTGATGCATAGAAAAGTGGTCCAATTTATAGATGCAATTCAAACGAACACTTTCAGAAAGCAATTACTTAATAATAGTAGACAAGGTCCCTGTCGAGTTCGTTTACTAAACCAGAAAGAGTTAAATTTACCTAGTACAAACCACAAGAAAATGACTTCTGAAGATGCTCAGTGTTGTAAAAGTATTCTATATTGAAATATAAATATGGTCAAAATGTTTGTACTGGACAATTTGCGCTTGATTAGGAATAAAACTATGGACATAAACATTAGAAGTCTTATTGTACACGTGTACAAGATATAAGGTCAGAGAGCTTAAAAAATAAGTTAGATTTCAGATTTTGCAAGAAAATCAGTGTCAAACCGTCATTTCATATGTAAACGAACGTAAATGTGAAACAGACAATTCAGTTTGTTTCTTTTTAATCTGTCTAATAACTCATTATCGTGCATTATCCATAAAGCAGCATGTGATGGTTCTCGAAAGAAAACCTTTTTGAATGACCACGAGTTAAAAAATATAGATTTTTCTCGAATAATTTAGTTTAAAATAAATGGGATGTATGATGCTTATGTAGGGTTTACAATTTTGACAAATTTTGTCTGTATAAGATAATTTATTGTCATTTAATACTGTCTGGTCATTAATTCGAAAGCAATAATTATTATCATAAATGGATATTAAATGCTAATTGTGCTAGATTACTATGAAATATATTGACTTTACAAAGTTTAATCAAGTTGTTTTTTGTTACGACAAAGTTAATGCATCAGTAAAACAGTGTTCGTATCATCAAATCTGAAAACACACCGAAGAATTGGGGAGATATACATAAAGTAGTACCATTGTAGAGGATTAATTTCCTCTATATCTGACTTTAATAAATAAATAATATCCCGCTAACTGATATTTTACTGCAGGCTAAATCTCCTAGTAGAATTACGGGTTTACTCGAGATTATTCAAAAGCCTGAACACCAGTTATAGAGATAGTTTATTGATGAAGCTCGGTAAAATTCGCAAGCGTACAGAAAGTAAGCACACAGGGAAAACAAGTGAGTGAGTGTGTGTGTGAGTGTTAAAAATCCATATATATTTTTGAGTGTTAATGGATTGTGGATAAATTATTGATTGTCTTTGTTTACAACCAATGAGAGAACAAATTAAGGATTGATGTGCAGACATGCGCTCAATCAGACTCACACATAAATTTACAGTGGGTTAAATGTTAGAATTACAGAGAGCACATAAAAAATACAGTAGTTTAATGGGCTTGCTACACCATCTTATATACAACTAAGATAAGCTTATATGTTAAGAAACAGTCGCTTAAAAGTTATTATTTATTAAGTTACCGCAGGATAGATTTATACAACAGTTAACTAAATCGGTTACGAATAATAATCAAAATGATCTATTGAGTTGGTGGAGATACTTTTAATTGCATTGGCTGGTGATTTTAGTAATCTTTTTCACTTCATTTGTTTGATGTTTCGATTGAACCAACATTTAATGGTAATAAAATCATTGGAACCGAATGAAAGATTCTTTTAAATAAACGTCACTTATTCATTTTTTTTGAATGAAAATGGATACTTCACAGAAATAACGAATAGTTGTTGATTCATAAAACTTTACCTCTGTATTTATTTGCAATGGTTAAATACAGTTTTAATTCAGATTATAAATATCGAATGAAGAAATGTGAAATGGTTGATCTCAGATGTTACTGCTACAAGCTTTTTGCAAACTAATACTCATGCTTAAGTATATGGTTTATACTGTTTCAAAGAATTACTTGTACTTTGATTTTCAAATAGATCGAAGAAGTTGCTTTATTCTAGCCTTGATGAAAATTTAAATATTCCTTACAAATTTGTGTTTACTTAAATAAATTATAAGTAGTTTACAAAATCACTCAAAATTATTCAGAATTGACATGTTTAACAAACAGGAAATATGTGAAACAAAGCACTTTGAAGTTAGATGTTATACCAATAGTTTTTGTTGCTTTTAGCTGAACTGAGTACATGTATGTGTTTTGTCTTCATTTGTTCACATGTCACACCCATCGGAATTTGTTCATCTAAATTAGGTATGATGTTTTTGGTTTACTGTAATATAACATGTGCGCTTTTCGAAATAAAACGTTATTATGAAATTTCACATTCGAACTTCATTTTTCATGATCAAGATATTCACATTATATTAGGCACCCAGAAAATCTATTTTTCACGGCCTTTTATATATATTTTTTGGAGAGATAATACAATAGGAAAGGTTGCAATCAATAATAAGAACCATAAATCCTTATTTGAATGTTCAATTAAGTCGTTTTTACAATCTCTTATTAGACTGCTATTTCCAACTTTTACCATACATCTTAAGTCTGGTAACGTAACGTAGTAAACCGATTACTCCCTAGTTTTTTGTTTAAAATCATTTTGGAACTAAAGAAATTTACAAGTTAAAACTTTAAAACTCATAAATAAATGATCTTACTTTATTACCAATAGTTTTCGTCATTCAGATATTAGAACCAGAATGATGTAGAAATTGTCAAGTTCAGTCAATTTTAATTCTTATCAAGTTGAATTTTCAGTAAATAAATCTAGTGAAAAGAATTCTAACAAAAATCAGGCATGAAGTGTGCATGAGTTAAAGAACGTAAGAAATGTTGCTTTCTAGAAAAAGAAATACCTTAGAATAAGATAATTAAGCTACGTTTTACTGAATGAAATCTTGAAATCAAGGGAGTGGCATGTACCAAGAACGAAATCAAATTTTAAGTATTGTATTAGCGTTTAATGTTGGAGGAACCGAATAATTAAGTAATAGGTTAACTAAAGAAACTAAACAGTTTTTCATGTCAGTGATCAAGTATAATTAAAAGTGATAGTGTATTGACTTTTATATCCAGAAAATTTAAAAACTTGTACACTTTATATATTTTTCTTTTGTTACATAGAATCACTCACATCAACACCTCTCCTTAATGGGGGAATCTATATTTCTAACTAGAATATAGATAATAAAATGTATGGTCAGTGTATGGAATACTACCTAAATCCCTTAAAAAATTAAGCGGAGGTTAGACTCTGAGTAATGTAACAAATAAATATGAGTAGCATGACTGCCTATGCTCCATTAGGGGTAACAGGCGTAAGTAGGTAAGTAATGATTAGTGTGACGGTTTTAAAAGAATGCGAATAATTTCATGGGATAAAATATTCATTGGTATAAAGGAAATTAGTTATTCTATGAACACTTGATGAAGCATAGACACACTCCTGTTGTATAATTCAAGTTCACGTAAAATAGATATTTTACGTAACGATTACCAAAATAAATGTAAGCCATCAAGTTATTTACAAAGTAATTTATAAAGTTTACGGAACAATGCTACTTGTACTGACAGATATAAGTAGTACACAGCATCAATCGCAAGTGGAATGCATGCGAGCAGTAGATTGAGAAGATTGTACTGAAGCTACAAGGAAAGAAAACAAAGATCAGTTGTAATAACAATATAACTGAAATAAGCATTAGGCATGTTATTAAAAACTGATGGAAGATGAACAAATATTGTATGTAATATATGGTCTTCATATTTTATGAACACATTCTGTAATTTTGCATTGAATAATAAATTGGTTTGCTCCACCTGAGTTCTCGTACACTATATATATATATATATATATATATATATATATATATTCCCCTTTATAATATCCATATATATACATTCATTCTAAAAGATTATCGGGGTACATAAAGTATTTGACAGTAGTTGTAGGGGTAGTAGTAATAATGATAATAATAAATTTACGTCTAGCTGATGAATTACTAATTAATGCTATGGTACAATGAATGATACATTCGGATAGAATATCAACACAAACTGCAAGTATATACTAGGAGATAAGCTTTCCTATGCATTCAAATAATTATTTTTGATAGAAAGTCAATCAAAAATTAATGAGAACAAGACATGAAGTCTTTGAGTTATTCATTTAAATAGACAGAATTATTCTTTATAAATAAGTAAATTATTAGATTATTTGTCATTATTAATAATCAAATAATAATTAAACTTGTCTAAATAGTTATAAATTGTCCAATCAGACTGTTAATTTTCAAATCTTAATAAATGAACTGACCAATGAAATTTTAATCTTGAAAAATAGCGGTAAATTCAATCTTGTTAAAGTTTAATCAGGAGCAACTTAAAAAGTTTAATTAGTTAGAATGGAATCATATCAGAAACACGAATACTATTGATTCAATCTACGAAATTCTTAAATATATCAAAGAATAATGTCATTTATTCGTTTCCAAGTTATGGATGGTTATGAAAGAATATAGATAATGTTCATATGTTTATGATTTATATAAAGCTCATGTGGATATCACAATGTGATTTATGCATTTTATCAATTACAGATTTCTAATAATGATCACCTACAAACTTCATCGTTGATTATATGAAAATGCATCCTACAGTTCTGGTGAATGCAAGATAATTGTTTGTGAATCTCATTAAAGTCTATCAACCACATACAAACATCAGTTTAATCAGGAAGAAGATACGGGTTATAAGCTGTCGTAAACAATGAAGCAATCATCAAAACGCAGCTCTCAAATATCTTCTCAATGTTTCCAATCTATCATGTTTTTCAGTTTATCAGTGATTGGTATTCAGTGTGCGAGCCCACAAAGTAAGTCAAGTATCATTATTCGAACTTAAAGTAAAACTTTAGTTAACGCTAATTAAGACCAAGTTGGTTACATTTTTATTAGTTGATTGATTAGAAAAAATTCACTTAGTTACCTTAAGTTCGTTTCGCTTACTATAAACTTTGAAGGTAAAGCAGTCTTTTCATACAATCTTGTCCGTTTTTCATCATGAGGTACAATAAAACATAAATACTTAATCGTAAGTTTACTTCTTAAACAGTTTTATTCACTCAAATCACCTTTATTAGTCTAGTCTATGGGTTTACGTGCAGTACTTCGAGTGTCATTTACAAAAAGATACTTTTACCTGTTCATTGTGGTATATCTTGGCTATTTAAAGATGAATAGTTTATCTTCCAAATCACTAACGTCAGCATTATTATTTTGACTGGATCCTGGAACGTTTAAATAAGTTCCTTTTGTTATTATTCTAGTAAGCAGACACGACTTAAAATGATGAGTGACTATTGGACGTAAAACAAAGAAATCGACACAAGGTTGTAAATCAAATATTGGATTAACAAAATACATAGTAATTTTTATATATTGTTGAAATAATGAGTCAATTGAAGCTAGAACACCAGGGAAAACCTTGAAGCACTGGACGGACGTTTCGTCCTATTGTGGGACTCCTCAACAGTGCGCATCCACGTACATAATAATTCGAGACCAATAAGAGTTTATAAATGCAATGAACCGAAATCTCCATAAGGTTAGTGATCGGTTCAAAAATCCCAGTGTTGTTATGTCTGAAATCACTATGTTTTATATTCATCCCCCTGTGGAGATCAAACCCAAAAATAACTGAGTGTAATGTAAATAATAAAATATATTTTTACTGACTGGCAAACGTCAGTTAGCTTCCTAATTATGTATTCTGAACAGAAAAGTGTAAATCGATCGTCTCTGTTCAATACTATATAACGTGGAACGTCAAAATTTAGTTTACTTTAAGTAAAGATCATATATCATGAAAACTGAATGGTGAATTATATAATCAACTAAAAAACAAAAACACTATTCTTTTATTATTTTTTCACCAAGCCGCCATGATGAATTTCTTCTCTTTTGCTTGTTAAAGGACTTATCGGATTCAATTTAATAAGCAATCCTGACGTTTTCTTTTCTTTCTTTTTTTTCAAATACACTTTAACTAGAAAACCCGTTGTACTTATTCTTATCTCACCCTCCCCCTGCTTGAACGAATTTATTTAATGTAACATTATTAGAACTTCCTATATCTTTTTTTTCAAAAAAAATCGAATTTCAATGTAAACAGTAGAAAAGAACACCTTTTCTGACATGAAATCTACTCTATTTTACTATTGCTATGTTGTTGTTTTCTGTCCAACAGTAATATACACTGTAGTGAAAATATCTACAATCTATTTTTAGTCATCCAAAAAACAAAGTCGGTTTTTTTATAAGTTTCATTATGGGATTTACTAAAAGTAGGAAAATTATGTATGAAAATTAACTATAATAATGTTAGTCTATACAGTTGATATATCAATATATAAATATATATATATATATGCAAATGAATATGCATTGATATATGTATTCATAGTAATTATCCTACTAGAAAATTGCTTCTTCTTCTTCTGCTTCTTCTTCTTCTTCTTCGTCATCTTCTTCTTCTTCATCTTCTATTTCTTCCTCTTCTTCTTCTTCTTCTACTCCCATTTTATCCTATTATCGTAATAATTAAATTATTCATAAAGTAAACAATATAGTTTGGCCATTTTTACCTTATACCGACATCATAAATCTGATAAAGATGAATACAAATAAAGTAAACATCTAATAATTCTAATTTATATATATTGGCTTTAGTTATAGATTATATTTGTTATAGTGAGTTAATCTATGCAAAATAATAAAATCTAAACCTGTTTATTATCAAAGTTAAAGTCATTGTGACATTGAAAGTAGTTTTGAAAAAAATAAGGAACAACAAGAAGTTACTTATTATTCTTACAAAAAGAAACGAAGATAGAAGCAGTTTTATTATCCATAGTGATCGAGGGTATATTTTGATTCAGTATTATGTATATCAGACGCTTAAACATATGTGTATAAGTGATTTGTTATTGTATCTAGTGTAATGTATTTTGGTACAGAAAATAACGATCTAGTCATGTCATTTACTGTGTTGGTTTATATTGTGCGAATCAAAAAGTGTTGCCCATTCAGATGTGTTAACTAAAATAACACATTTAAAAAAGGGAAACAAAATTCAGATAACCAACTTGTAGGAAGATTTATCGATTATTATTTTCGGTCACTAATATCAGGAGTCATCATAAAGAGATGAATTTTTATTTATGATCATAAATCGATCAATGTTAGAGCACTATTGAAGACCTGTAAGCACTGGGTGGCCTTTTCGTCCTAGTATAGGACTTCTCAGCTGTATGTATCAACGATACTGAGCATGGAATTCGAACCCGGAAGCTTTAGTCTTCCACACAAATGCTCAACATCTAGACTGATTGGTCGACATCTGAAGGTGTTAATATTTGATTTGAAACGATCCACGGTACTGCACGACCATCTTCCATTGTCTTCAGTGGTTAACTGCTCTAGTTTTCACGGCTTCTTACTAGAACTCCAAGAATTACATCTTGAACCTAGTCACTAGTAAACACATGATAACTATCAATATAGGGTTGTGGAATCTGTTGAGTTTTGGTTGTGATCATGAATCGATCAATGTTAGACCACTATTGATTGATTCATGATCTCAATGAAAACTGAATAAACTCCACGACTTTAAACTGATAAATGCATTTTATTCCAGCCTAAAACAACTGGCTGATAAACATTTTTGTGAAAATCCAAAATCTAATCAAATTCTAAGCTAGAGGGTGGTTAATTCTATTTTAAATGTTTTATTTTTAAATTTTCAACCATGAAAATGAAGGTTTCTGAAAACACTTTAAAATGAAATACATTTCAGCTGTTACATTTTATGTTCATTGACTTTACAGCTTTGCCTGTGTGTGCTGTTAATTTCAAGAGGTGTTTTGAGGTTTCTTCAATTCCTGTTTAATAGATAGACGATATTGTTTGAATGAACTGAGTCAATATCATTGACTGAGTTCAGAACAGTTGTCAATGAAGTGATGGAAACTTTTTCACAAGTGATTTAACTGTATGACTAAATAATAGATTAAGTAGTTCTCTGGAAATGAATTCAATTCATGAATTGGTCTTATTTGATAATCTTTCAAAACCATATAGCAATAAATTTATAGTTCATCCTAGATTCTGACCTATCCAAAGTGTTCACTCACTACTTAAGCTAATATTAAACTGAAAAGCTTTGGGTTATTTCGGTCATTTCAAAACATTTTAATAACATAATCGACTGGCAAAGATAATGCTCAAACATGTCTGGTATATATTTCCACTAATATTTGAAAACAACCATTCATATTTTTCTGAATTTCTCTGATTGTTTAGCCACAGAAACTTATCATTAAACTGAAAAAATCATCTATCTTAACAATGATTTTTACGCATTACCGACATAAAGATGTCATATAAAATATTTTCTATCCAACTAGTTTGGAGAAAAAATATAATACCTATTTATATCCAATGTATGTGTACAAAATATACGCAAATATATATCTGCAAACAGCTAGTCGAGTGAATCGTTTTTATATCCTCTATCACATGGACTACATTGGTTTTACTTGTTTAAGTCAGAACTTTTCAATATTACATTGTACAGCTTAATTTTGTATACAATTCTTTACATTAGATGAATGTTTTTAAAACGACCAAAATATTTGTACAATTCTTACATACACAATCGTGTATTTTGGATGTTTTCAGACATAGAATCATTCCTCCTTACCCCTCTTCATTTCTTTTACAAAGAAAAGGTCCATGAAATGTTGACGCACAAATATATGTACAGTTACGTAATATTTACATATATGTATAGCAACATTCCAGCACACACACACATACAAATGAATGATAGAATATTACAGATCTAAAAACTCATTGAATTTGTGATTATGGTCTAAAAATACTTCCGCGTAACCTATTCGAGTGTGAATTTCTATTTAGTATCTTGAATTGATCAGTATCACTATTCCAATTCCAGTACATATCAACGGAAGATCAAATCGTAGATCAATGGTAACGTCCTTGTAATCTTTGAAAATGTCAGAATGTAACAATTATTTATTATTTTTTTAGGATAAAATCTGTCTTTTTTTTGCTTTAAAATTCTGTCACTTGTAGGTAAAAGTTTTAGTTTGTCTATCGTATGATAGTTATTATCTTTTTATGGCTAAATGCACATGATAATTTACTTTAACGGTCAACAAAAATAATCTAATACTTCAAGTGTTGAACTATTATTATTATTAAGTTATGTTTATCTTAAATCATACCAATAAATCATTCATCTAAGATTATTGGGACCATAATAATAAAAATAATAGTTTTCTCCAATATATTCTGTCTGAACACAATAGGAAACGTTCACCACTCCATGTATCAATACATTCAATAAAGAAATATATTCCTTTAGTTTTCAACCATCCAAATCGAATCTGACACTGATTCATAGATCGCATGATAATCAAAACAGTTTTACTTCATCAATATCTTTATTACACAAAACACCGAAAATGCTCAGAATTTTAGAGTGTTTTATTTGTAGTTCGCAAAAAACTTATCATTTCTAAAAAATCTAAGAATGAACCTTGATAACGCGATGGAGTTTGAAGCGAAAGGTAGTGGGTTCGAGTATCAGAGTGAACATCAACTCTGAGATGCAGGTACATCCAGCTGACGAGTCCCGAATAGGACGAAACGCGCCTCCTGGATTCCACTGCTAGCCATTATCCATCTTTGCTCACAATGCTTGTGAATTAGGGCTGTATCGAGGTAATACGCATAATATGCACATATGGCCAATAAGAGACTGACCAGTTGCAGTCCTAAACATCAATGG